TTACTTCTATTTGCTCCGCATTTGTTTGTGGGCAGGTCGATACTTGTGGAAGAGGCTCAATAGATGGTGGCCCGCGTCGTCTCGCGGTCTATGCGGCACTGGCTAACGTAATTCTCTCTTATCGAGAGTCTGTGCAGATGAAAGTTTCCCGCGTTTTATACTACAGCCCATTCATAAAATGAGGACATGATGAGGCCAGCAGCCGATCCAGACAACCAGCCATTGACTACAATTCTTGAATGCTAAGTACAAGCTTACAAACCTCGGGTCTCTTCGAAATGAGGTCTCGATGCCTGCTTGCCGGCTTCTTATTCTATCTGCCGAGTTAAAGATCATCCATGGCCATGTCAAATCCCCATAGATGACAGCCAGAGAGATGAGCAGTGGATTTGGTTGATGCTAAACTCAGAACCCCTCCACGAGAGCAACAGAAGATATATAAACCAAATAAGGCGCGTGGAAGTACTGGTTTCCATTGCTGTGATCAGCATATGGACTCGCGCTTGGACTATCTACATCTACAGTCAAGCAACTCGACATGCCAGTCCATCCTTGGGTAGAGTGACTGGTGATGGACTTCTGCCCTCGGACCACCTCGAGACAAGTGTCTGAGGGGAATGAGGAAACAGACTATACCGCTGTATGTGTAGCCTACGTTGCGCAAGGTCGAATGAGGGACTCAGTGCCGCCGGGATTTGTAGAGTTTCGGATGTGCCGAGTGCTGTCGGCTGTCTGTTTAGGGTGAAGGTGCAGCTGCAGGCTGTAGCCGTAGCGGAGTTGCAGCAGAAGTCCTCCGTGAATCACACCCGTGACCCTCATGACAGCTGCTCTCTCTACCTGTCTTAGTTCCCCAGGAAGAGTTCTTCTGGCTTGCACATATACTGGTTTTGGTCAACTTGACGATGGAAATGCGCCGCTGACAGCAAGTCGACAACACCACCCCACATTTTTTTTTTGCGGTGCTATCACGTATCCTAGATCCTGCATGAAAGGGATTTAGATTGAATTACTATTGATTAAGGCTAAACCCACTAGTTTCTCGTGTGAGAGGTTGTTTCACGAACCACAGTTCCTGAAGGCTGACAGGTACGGAGTACAGTATCGGTAGTTCTCCAGCCGCTAGCTGTCATGCGCCGGCTGCTGGATTAGGGCTAGATCCATCATGCTCGGATCGAAGCTGCATCGTAACCAGCCCAGCCCAGAAGAGAAACAGAAGCTTCTTAGGTTCGCATGACGGGTTAGCGACTGGGGCCCTGGGGTCTATCAGATTCAGATTCCCCGTAATGGAATTTGTGTGAAAGAGGGGAAGAGACGGAGACTGAGCTATGCAACCTTCGACGGTTTCTGATTTGGCTGTCCTCCCTCGTTCTCTCGGCTTCGTCTGGAATCTTTCTAGCTCCCATGTCGATAGAGCCGATTGGACCCTTCGGCGGGGATGCTTGTCCACTGCGAAACGTCTGGAACAAAACAAACTCGAAAGATTCCCAGATAGTTTTAGGGTTCATCCCGAATGTGTCTATCTTCGATATATCCCTACCAATCGAATGGAAGCAGATCCAGAGAAAGCGCAGAGTTTGAGACTTGCGAATAGCTGCAAGATCGATCCTCTTCTGCACATGGACACACACCCACACACACCTCCAATTACATAGTCCCATCATTACAAGCCGCAATAACCGCAAACTGCAATTCCTCGTGCTGGGCCCCAACTCTCACCTCCACCGGAACTCTCAATGGTCTAATAGACAGATGTGATGTGTATGATTATTCTTATACATAGTATGTCCCCTCGTTCCAGTGGCAAAGATGATTGATGGAGTGACAAAAGTCAAATTTCGATGGGCATGTGTGGGAGAACATCATGCGGCCGGACCCCTTTCTGGCCATCACGGGGCAAAGGAAAACGAATTGCGTGAGTGATGAAAAGCTGAATCGAAGATTTAGCTAGCTAAATCTGATATGTCGAGTTTTTTTCCGGGTTCTTGTTCTGTTTTCCCAACTCGGAGGGGCGGAGCTTAATTATCTACTTTTGTTCGGTCTTTGGTTTGGGGGCAAGAAGAGTGGAGGGCAGAAAAGAGGATGGTAGATCTGGATAGAGTCTTGGAATGAAGGACACGAAACAGGTGGAAACACTTCGGAGGGTGAGGATCTGGGGCTAGACCTTTTGTCGCTGGTTTGGGTTCCTTTGTTGTTGAAGATGAGGTGCCGCCACTGTCATCATGTCAACGCTCGTCAGGTTTTTCTTGTTGATGTTAAAATAGAACCTGTCTTCGAGAGGAGAAACTGGATTCGGGGGTTTGAGGGGAGGGTCAACATCCCCCGAGCAAATCGGACAGAAAAATTGATGCAGCAGTTGGGAAACTAAAAGTCCCCGGGAGAGGAGCAGAACTGGAAACTATCGACGGGCTTATGTGTACGGACGGTGGACCACTGTCACCGGATCTGGAATGGGGGGGATTGGACCTGTCATGGAAACCAGAGAGCAGGAAGGGAGGAGGGAGGATAAGGTACGTACAGGAAAAGGGAAAAAAATGCGAGGGTTGGGCTGAGAGTGAGTTGCAGATGGATGAGTGGGTTGGGATGGATGAATAGATGCATATACTATAACCTAAGCTGGACCCTCACCACTACAAGGGGGAGGGGAGGTAGGAAGTATAGAGACAAGGTCGAAGAAGCAAAACAAATAACCCTCTCTGGGTCCTTTTGAGGGTAATTCACCTAGGCGACTCGAGGAAGAATAAAGCCGTTGTCGCAAGGGGGGGGGAGGAGAGGGCGAGGGAGAGAGCTGAATTAGGGGAGAATTAAAGGTCTAGAGGCTGAAGGCTGGGGTTGGCTCACACTCTTCTCTACAAAGTAACCGCTATTGGACCTGTCAGATGCCCGTTCGCAGCGCGCGCGCGGGTTTGGATACATCGACATCGCATCCGAATGCAGGGATGGAGAATATTGAGAGGATTGTACTGTACTCTGTACTCCGCACAAAGAAAGACTGGTGGCCAAAAAAAAAATAGTTTCTAGTGTTTGGTTGAAGAAAAAGACATTATCCGAGTTTCAGGACGATTCTGAAAATTCCAAGGGTAACTACTAATCCAGTTGGAACAACTATAGCCGAAGGGCAGGCAGAAGGAAGGAAAAGAGGGTCAGGTTCAGGGACCCTCTTTTTTTCTCTCTTTCCCCTCGGGTAGACTAGACTACGGTACGTAGTCGATGACGATGCGATCTGATCAGCATGCAATTTCTGACTGTCTGGACCTCCGGTTGTAGGGCATGGTTTAGTTTCGGGGAGAGGTGGATTACTCCAGGCAAGACAATGAATTGTATGATTCTATGGGTCTGAGGATGGCGTGGTTCCTAAGTGAAAACAACACCAACAATAACAACATCTTTATCAAAATGAGAAAGAATGAGAAGCTGGAATGCATAGGAAATGAAATGGAAATCGAAGATGTCTGTGCTGGCCGCGATAAAGCCGAGCGACTGGGGCTGCTGCTGGCTGGGGCTTATCGGCCGGTCATGCAGCCAGTGATGCAGTGATGCAGTGATGATGTCTTTTCCTCTTTTTGCTTTCTTCATCTTCTTCCACTTTCTTTCAACAACTCACTCCTCATCTTCATCATCTTCTTCTTCCTCCGGCTGTTTCCTCCTCATGATGCTTCGTCATCTGCCTCTTTTCCCTTTCCCCTTGGTAAGCAGCTAGCTTTCTGTATATCCGGAACCAGCCACGGCGCCACTTTCATGTTTTCCAACCATGCCCTTTCGACCCAGCCGTGCTGAACTGATGGTGGTGCCTGGCCATTAGTGGACTTCACTCAGTATTCTGTAGTTACCGGCACTCACGACTCCTCTGTAATTTTTTTTTATTCCCTTCTCTTTGCCAGCTGCAGCTGCATCTATACCAATTGGTTTTAGCTCTCTTACTTCTTACTTCCTCCCTTCTCCCTCCACTTCCTACTCTGTAAACTGCATTGCTTGTTAGGACTATTGTTTTTATTTTATCTTATTTTACTTTTTTCTTTTTCTTGCTTGATTTTTTCTTCCTCTTTCCCTCCTTTCTTCAACCCCCCAGCGACTGCATCCATCTGCCTGGTCGTACATCTTCTAGCCTAGCTCATCTGACCGAACCGGACGGGTTTCGACACAGTCGATCATCACCTGCCGACTGAGTTTACTTACTATATATCTTTGCCTCCAAATCCTACTCTTCCCCTCTTTCCCCCTCATTTCCTGTGCAGGATACAGTCTACATACTTACTCCCTTTCACTGGATTTTGACTCTGCATCAACTCTCCTGTCTCCTGTCTCCTGTCTCTTGTCACCTGTTGGCCTTACCTGCACTACCAGGCCTTACAAATCCAATCGCATTGAATTGCTTACTACCCAACGTTGCCCGGCCCGTTTTGCCCTGGTAAGCAGTTCCTCCCCCGTCCGTTCCGTGGTTCCCCTCTTAGAGACTCTCGTATGCTGCCAGCCCTTGCCACTGGATCACCGGCTCTCTCGGTCTGGATCTGAGCGGATCTCACGGACATTTCCGTCAGTCAGTCGTCGCTGATGAGTTTTAATCCGATGATGACCATAAACTGTGCCCCCCTTCCCCTCCTCCTCCCAACCAAAAGTTTCTCCGCATTATTGCTTGCTTGCTTGCCATGCTTGCCAACTCCATTCTTCTTCCGCCAGCTAATTTCCTTTGCGCCGCCTCTAGATAGTTCCTGGCATTCCTCAGACCCGCATTCCTCGGTTGTGTCAGCGACCATCGATAACTAACCGTTTGCTATTGTGCTGCATACATTCTCGAGTTACATTGGGGAAATTAAACGGCAACACATGTTTATTGCGCCCGCCGTCTTCGTCCATCTACCATTGCGCTTGTGGTTATAGACGTGCGCTCCTACCTTGCATCCCTTCCTGGTCGCCCACTCCCCTCACCCAGGACTGAGTCCTGCTCTACTACCAGTTGCTGTGCGTCCGGCGATCCAAGTGGCAGTCGCCGTTGAGTCGCCACAATGCCTTCGACTTTTTGGGAGCGGACAAAAGGGACGTCTAAGAAAGGATTCGACAAGGCATGGCACACCCTCGACAAACTGGGGGATCCCGTCAATCGACTCTCCAATCGAGTCGGCGCAGAGGCCTTTTGGCCCATGGCCATTGACAAAGAGAGCGACAAGGCAGCGCGCATTTTACGAAGCTTCTGCAAGGATGGCTTTTACAGCGAGGAGGATGCAGATCGCCAGAGTACCGACAGCGCAGTCAACCCAACGACTGGCAAGATCGACCGTCCCAAAGGCAAACAACGAGTCCTCAAGAAAATCCCTTCAAGGGTCATCCAGCAGGCCAAAGGCCTCGCCATCTTCACCACCATGCGCACCGGTCTCTGGCTAAGCGGCTCAGGCGGAAGCGGTGTTCTTCTGGCACGGATACCTGAAACAGGCGAGTGGAGTCCTCCGTCGGGCATCATGCTGCATACCGCGGGTATTGGGTTCCTAGCCGGGGTCGATATATATGACTGTGTGGTCGTCATCAATACATACGAAGCGCTAGAAGCATTCAAGAAAGTTCGCTGCACCCTCGGTGGAGAAGTAAGCGCCTCTGCCGGTCCTGTTGGCATGGGTGGTGTTTTGGAATCCGAAGTCCACAAGCGACAAGCCCCGATTTGGACCTACATGAAAAGTCGGGGGTTGTATGCAGGTGTTCAGGTTGACGGAACGATCATCATCGAGCGAAGCGATGAAAACGAGCGATTCTACGGCGAGCGCATATCAGTGACGGATATCTTGGCTGGCAAGGCCAAGAACCCTCCTGCATCAATTCAAACCCTGATGCAAACTATTAAGGCCGCCCAAGGAGATGCTAATGTGGATGAAGCTCTCTTGCCACCTCCAGGGGAGGCTCCCGGTGATGTCGAACTTGGCCCTGCGATCGGTTCCTTTGGTGTACCTGATCCAGAGGATCCCGACCCGTTTGGTGTCAAGGCGTTAGAAGCGGAAGGTCTTTTCATTCGCGAGGCTGGTTCGCGAAGCAGACCGTCGCAGGAGGCATTCGAGTTCAAACCCGCCCCAAGCAGTCCTATTTATGCCACATTCCGCCGCAGTCTCGATAGTTCACCCCGCAGCAGCTGGCGCGCGAGTGTGCAGAGCTATGCCAGCATGGATCGAGGGACCCAGACGGATGATGGTCCGGCTACAGCGCCGCCTTCTGTCAGTCGCGCCTCTTCTCGAAGTTATCGAGACCACGAGGAGTCTCGTCTGGGTGCTGTTATCCCCGAGCATGGCGAGTATCATGTTCCCACGGACGCTCCGGTCGCTGCCGATGTCGAAGACGACTTGGTGGACGATGACGATCTAGAGGTGCACGAAGTCAGCAGTGCAACTGTTTCCAAGCGAGAAAGTATCGCCCATTCCCCCGTTTCCATCGAAGACTCAACAATGCCTTCTGAACTTCGACGTTACTCACCCACGTTCACACGTGCCCGTTTGGTGACAATTCCCAAGCGTGTCCCACCTGCGCTTCCACCTCGCCACCCTTCGCGTACTCCTGGTTCAATCTCGACTTCGACCCCCACTTCGCCGACCTCACTCTCCCGCTCTCACAGTCGTCGCCGGTCGGTGGCGTCGAGCCCTGGACGCTCTGGAATGATTGGCCTCACCGAACTACCCCTGCACTCCCTGTCTGACGACTCGCTCAGTGACTCCTCGTCCAACGCAGCAGCAGAGTCGTACAACAAGACATCACCTGACCGGGAGGATTTCCACTCCGTGTCCAGCCTCCACGACTCGGATGCCGCTTCGGAAAAGGAAGCTAGCATCAAGGAGATCGATGCGAGGTCTGACTTGCAAGTTATTGCTGCCAACGACAAGGCTGAACTTGCAAAACCACTTTCTTCCGATGCAGATGTGAAGGCCGCAGCAGCGGCATCTCCCCACCTTGCATAAAGATACGTCACAATCTTGCTTTCATCAGCGTTTCACTTTAAAAAGACTTTGCTTTCGTCTGTATATATATATCCTTCAGGCACATGCTTGGGACGGTGGTCCTCTCATATATGACACTGATTGACCTGCAAGGCACCCAATACCGGTCCTCGCGATCTTTCTATGTCTGTGACTTTATTTATGCCCTTCGATGTCAATTTTACAGCGTGTTTGGTGTTGATGGACTGGCCATGGGATACCTGGGCGTCTTGGCTTTTTTTCTGGTGAATGGAATCAGGATTTAGGCTGGAAGCCATTGATTGCTCTGGGAAGGATAGCCAGCGCTGGGACTTGGCGCTTGTGCTGATTTGGATATTCTTCTTTTTTCATCTCCCTTGATAACTCCTTTTTTCTGCTTATCATTTTATTATATCCCATGAGTTCACTCTTCTCAAATGTTACTTCTTGTCATCTACTATGCCTCTGGATAGCCTATCTATACCACGGTATGATTTTTACTTTGACCTGAGACCCATTCTTTGACGGTGTGCCTGGAGCCTCACTTCAACACAAACACACCTTGTAGGAAACAAGTAAACACGAAAACTTTCATCGGCCAATTCATCAAGCAACGTTCTTCAGAAACCTGTAGCAGGCGGCAATCAACAGTCAGCGGCTGACGGCGGAGAGATCCGACCGCCACTTACTGGCACTGCAGGATTACAGGCAACACTAAACCGGTCTTTTATCTCTCACTTGATTTGGCTAAGCACTGCAGCTAAGGTACCTACTAATCAACCATCAATCTATTCATTTGGAGCTAAAAAATTGCACCATCCCCATGGACCCTTATAAGAAGCTGCCTGCTGGTCAATTGGACCTTCTGCTCCCCCCAAAGTCTCCAGCTGCTCCCAATGCCTTCTCTTCATGCTGTGGTGGTGGGCTCCGCCCTCGTCTGTGCTGCCGCCGGCCAGTTCTTCCCTCCTAAGCCTGAAGGCGTCACGGTCATCGATTCAAAGCAATATGAAGGTGTCCAAATCTCCTACAAAGATGTATGCTCCCAATTAAACGCAAGGTGAGCGTCAAGCCCCGTGCTAACCTGTTTGCCAGCCTGGAATCTGTGAAACTACGCCTGGGGTCAAATCGTACTCCGGCTATGTCCACCTTCCCCCGGGCACCCTCAATGAGCTAGGGGTGGACCAGCAATACCCCATTAACACCTACTTCTGGTTCTTCGAATCGCGGAACAACCCTGCCAACGCGCCTCTTTCGATTTGGATGAGCGGTGGTCCTGGCGGGTCGTCCATCATTGGGTTGCTGCAGGAGAACGGGCCGTGTGTTGTCAACAAGGATTCCAATTCTACGGAGATCAACCCTTGGTCATGGAACAACTATGCCAACATGCTCTACATTGACCAGCCGGTTCATACCGGGTTTAGCTATGATGTGGCCGTCAATGGCACCTTTGATGCCCTCACCGGTGACTGGGATATCTCTGGCTTGGAGGCTGGCATCCCGGAGCAGAATAATACCTTTTACGTGGGCACGTTCCCCAGCATGAACAACCAGACCACGATTAATGGGACTGTGAATGCCGCCCGTGCCCTGTGGGTGTTTGCCCAGACTTGGTTCTCGGAATTCCCCGAGTACAAGCCCCATGATGACCGCGTCAGCATCTGGACCGAGTCATATGGAGGACGCTACGGCCCGGCCTTTGCAGCGTTCTTCCAAGATCAGAATAACCGAATCGCTAAAAACACCCTGTCTGGCCATCCAATCCACCTCGACACTCTTGGCATCATCAACGGCTGCATCGACCTGCTTGTCCAAGCGCCGAGCTTCCCCGAAATCGCCTACAACAACACCTACGGCATCCAAGCACTCAACCAGACCATCTACGAGGCTGCCATTCAGGCCTGGAGTGGACCGGGCGGTTGCAAGGACAAGATCATCGAGTGCCGTGCGGTAGGCGCCGAGGGGGATCCGGAGATGCACGGCAACAACCAGACCGTCAACCGGGTCTGCCAGGATGCGGACGCCTACTGCATCGATGAAGTCAAGGGCGTCTTCAAGAAATACTCCGACCGCGGCTACTACGACTTTGCGCATTCGGCCCAGGACCCCTTCCCGGAGCCGTATTTCATCGGGTACCTGAACCAGCACTGGGTGCAGGCCGCGCTGGGGGTGCCGGTCAACTATACCCGCTCGGCGGAGAGCATCTGGGAGGCGTTCCGGTCGACGGGCGACTACCCGCGCTCGGACCGCCGCGGCCTGATCGAGGATCTCGGCTACGTGCTGGACTCCGGCGTCAAGGTGGCCCTGGTCTACGGGGACCGGGATTTTGCCTGCCCCTGGACCGGCGGCGAGGCCGTCAGCAAGCTGGTCGAGTACGCCGGGGCGGCGCAGTTCCGGTCCGCGGGCTATGCGGAGTTGCGGACCAACTCCTCGTACGTGGGTGGCATGGTGCGCCAGTCGGGGAACTTTTCGTACACGCGGGTCTATCAGGCGGGCCACGAGGTCCCCGCCTACCAGCCCCAGACGGCGTATGAGATCTTCCACCGGGCGCTGTTCAATCGGGATCTGGCGACGGGGAAGATCTCCACGGTGAAGCACCCGGATTACCAGAGCCAGGGGCCGGAGTCGACGTGGAGCATCAAGAATGTGGCGCCCGAGATTCCGGAGCCCGTGTGCTACGTGCTGGCTTTGCAGGAGACCTGTACGGAAGAGCAAATTGAGAGCGTGGTTAATGGATCCGCGGTGATCAAGGACTACCTGGTGGTGGGGAGAAAGTGATTCGAGGGGATATCACCGAATTGGTGGGTATTTGTAGCATGAAACAAGGTAGTCAGTCTAGAGTATGGTTTCTTGAAGACCGTCGAATATCTATCTAATAACTACACAGTATTAGCAAACTGAATGTAGTCAGATTATATGGAACTTGGTGACTGCACAAAACTTCAATCTTATGTACACATAAAGGTAGTGGATCACCAGCTGCCCGTTCCCCGCACTAGCCCGAACAGGCAGGTCGCCAGCTGACAGGACACTTTCTATACTTGGGCTGAAGTCCAGATGGATCAACTTTCCACTTTCTCGCCTCAGTCTCCATTTTTCCCTCCCTTGACAGCTAGAGTTCTCTGGAACCACCATTCAGCTAGAGTCGACAATTTGCCTGTTGCTAGCCTTGCGATCCCTAGCCCCGGATTTCAGTATCCAGTCTCTTTGCCCATGTCAATGCCTGGGAAATCGAACCTTCTCGAACCTTCTCTTGGCCCGGCCAGCGGGGAGACAGCGTCACACGTCACCGCAGGGCTCACCTGAGGTGAACGGAAAGCCCGCCAACACTACTGCATAAGACTTCCACCGTTTGTCCCCCTCCTACCCAACGACACAACTGGCTTTCGTCTACTGTCCTGAACACGAAAACATCACCTCGATCACTCGCTCTTCCGCTTCTCTTTCCCCCCCCTGCATCTTCCTTATCTCTCTACTCCCGAAAGTTCCGCGCTACCTCACTCTAGACGGTGGTGGTCAGTGGGCAGTGTGATCCTGTGAATCTTCTACGTCATTCGAGATCGTACTTCCTTCCCCGCCCGGTTTCGACCTGCCATCATTCCCCCAACGCACGCCCCGACCGGTGGTGTGATCCTCCCTCCTCGTCGATTGCTTATATTGGAGGCATCGAGTTGCTCCAATTAGCGTTCTTCAGTACCTGACAACACCTGCGAACCCTTTCGTTTACACATTTGACCTGCATTTCCACCTTTTCGTCCGTCAACAACAACACCATCAACAACAACACACACACACACACACACACACACACCACAATGGTGGCTGAAACAAAGCTTTATGACGCCCTGTCGATCAAGCCGGATGCTTCACAAGATGAAATCAAGAAGGCGTATCGCAAGGCTGCCTTGAAGTACCACCCGGATAAGAACAAGGACAACCCGGCTGCGTCGGAGAAGTTCAAAGGTATGCTTCACCATTTTTTCGTTCTCATTTGTCCAGTGCACAGCTAACCTAGACTGTTGACAGAGGTCTCACAAGCATATGAAGTTCTTTCTGACCCCGAGAAACGCAAAGTCTACGATCAATTCGGTCTGGAATACCTCATGCGCGGTGGCCCGCCCCCGACGAGTGGCGATGCCGATGGCGGTGCCAACCCCTTCGCCGGAGGGATGCCTGGCGGTTTCTCGTTCGGTGGCATGCCTGGAGGCGGAGGAGGCGGTACCCGTACGTTCCACTTCTCGACTGGACCCGGTGGAAGCAGCGGATTCCGGTTCAGCAATGCGGATGACATCTTCCGGAATTTCGCCAAAGCCAGCGGCGGCATGGGCGGCATGGGCGGCGGCGGCGGCATGGATGAAGACGACCTCTTTTCGATGCTCGGTGGCGGCTTAGGTGGTGGCCGGGGGTTCCGGACCAACCGCGGGTCGACCGGCTTCAAGCAGTCTGCGCGTGCCCCGACGCCGGAGCCCACCGTCATGGAGAAGGAGCTGCCGCTGACGCTGGAGGAGATCATGAAGGGCGTGACGAAGAAGGTGACGGTCAAGAGCAAGACGTTTGATCCGGCGACCGGCAAACGCACCGTGCAGGATGTCACGCTGGAAGCGAAGATCAAGCCTGGTTTACGCACGGGATCGAAGCTCAAGTACCGTGGCGTGGGAGACCAGGAAGAGGGTGGAAAACAGGATGTGCATCTGATTGTCACTGAGGTAGGTTTCTTGTCCTGTCCTACGGATCTTGGCAGTGATTTACTAACGGTCGCTGCAGAAAGAACATCCCAACTTCAAACGCCAAGGCGACCACCTCATCACAACGGTCGAATTAAGTCTGAAAGAGGCCCTCACCGGCTGGGAACGTATTGTCCGCACGATCGACGGCAAGTCCATCAAAGTTTCCAAGCCGGGTCCCACGCAACCGGGATACGAGGAACGGTATCCGGGCCTGGGTATGACCGTTTCGAAGAAACCGAGCGAGCGGGGTGACCTGATCATTCGGGTCAATGTGCGGTTCCCTGCTAGCCTGACTGCGGCCCAGAAGGAGGTGCTGCGGGACGTTCTTCCTTGATTGATTTCGTGCAATATTCCCATCATAGTATTGTTACTGCTTTTGATGTTTTTTTCTAATTACCAGGGATCGAATTAGCATAGTTGGCGTTTGGGCGTGAGCGGCTGGATCGCTGAGGATGATGGAACGATGATGATTGATGACGGGAGGATAGTTTAGATTCGAATATACTTCGAATAAAAGTAATTCCTAAGTTGGTTCGGCTATAGTAGGTAGTAGGGTAATCGACATGAGTAACTGGTAACTATAACCCGGTAGACGTAGAGTACAGTACAGTACTCTGTCTGCAGTCCAGTGGAGAGAGCTCTAGCAACAGTACGTCCTTATCGATACCTAGTAACCTCCGATAACGATAACACCCGATAAGATAAACCACGCGACCAATCCCCAGGCCAGCAGACCGCCAACCCCAAGGTCAACATCCAAGCTTAGCTTAAGCTCCAGCTCCCAACGCCATCTCCATCTCCAGCTCCACCTGTTGAGCTCTCTCCACATCACCTTTGATTATCAATCTATCCAGCACCTGTCTTCAACCAATTCGCTCTATCAGTAATCATTTGCCGTCAGCCAAACAATAAACTATATCTCTTCAGACATCAACCCCCAATACCAACCAATCCTAAGGATGACCCCCCCCATCAAACGCAGAACAACCTACCTCCAAGACCCCTCCACCCCCTTCGACCCCTCCCAAGCCCGTCTCCTCCCCCAGGCCCTGGAGATCCGGAACTTACACAGCGCAAAGCAAGAACGGTGGACCGTGCCTGTTGAGGAGTTATTGGGCAGTGGTGATGGGTGGGATGCCGAGGTATGTTTCTCCCCCACGTTCCCCGCTGACCGGTTATCTTGAATATCTGGTAACGTATTTCTGTGGAAGTATCAGATCCGAGAGTTCTTGGGAAGTGGTGTGGAGCGGTTGAGTGTCAGGTGGGCCTCGGGGGATGCTGCTGCTGCTGCTGCTGGCGCCGGCGCTGGGGGGGCTGTCACACCCTTCGCGAGTCGGGTCTCCGGGGGGTTGCATGTTTTCTTGAGGCCGGGGAGGGGGGATAAGGGGGATGAGGGGGAGGGGAAAGAGAGTGTTGAGGGGGAGAGGAGGTGAGTTTTTTTTTCCCCTTCTTGCTGTGTTCTATCTTGGGTTGGGGTTGGGGTTGGGTTTTGGGGTCTGGGTTTGGGGGATACTACGAGCTTATGCTAATGGGTTTGGGTTTGGGGTGCCAGCGATGCGGTGTGTCGGGTTTTGAGGAGTGTGTTTGGGTCGGAGGTTAAGAAGTGTGAGAATTACGAGGTATGTTTTCCCAATTTCTCTTAGTGGATTGGTGGGTGGTTGGGCTATACGGCATGGAGGCTAATCTTTTCTTGCTTTTTGCTTTTTATCTCTGGCTAGAAATCTTTCACTTGGTCCGATGCATTGTCTGAGTATCAGTTTTATTCGCCTTTGGGGTCGTTGGAGGGGTTGGTGGGTTTCTTTCGGGAGAAGGTCTGTACAGTGACAGGGAAGGAGGGAGCTGAGGCGGAGCGGTGTCGTCGACAGGCCCGGGAGTTGCTCGCTGCTGACTCGGTGGATCTCGCCTACGATTCGGGATCGCGCAATTTAGTGGTGTCCGCGTTCTGGGCGGATGCGCCGGGGGGCGAGGGGTGGACGGAGGATCTCCACGCTCCGGCTGCTGGGTCCAAAGGGAAGACGGAGGTTGGGTTGCTGGGGGCGGAGAGGACGGCGGACCCTGAGGAGATCAAGATGGGTGGGCTGTTAGGGGTGGTTGGGGAGGATGAGAAGTTGAGTATGTTTGTTTGTCTTCAGAGAAAGAGCCACAGCAGCTGACTAGTGTGCCCCCCCGATTCTAGAGCCGACGTTGTTTTCCTTCTCTTCCAGACACCATGCCCTCCCTCGTGATGCCGTCTTCTCGGTGGCGTTCCCCCTGCCCACGGGCTTACATCCTACGATGACCATTTCCCTATCGCCCGCCGCGCTGCAACCCCCGGACGCAACCTGCGCCCTGCATACGTATCTCACGCTGCCGTCCTATCTCTTCGGCGACAAGTACCAGCTGGGCACCGAGGATCCGCTGTTCTTGGATTCGCACCACCTGGTCAAGTTGCTGTCCGTGACGGGCGAGACGGACCTCGAGGCGCCGGACTGGTCTGTGAGTCAGTGGGGTTCGAATTGGCTGCTCGAGGTGGCTACGCCCCCTGAGGTTCAGCCTTCCGAAGAATGGAACGTGACCATTCCGCTTCATTTGCGGTACTTGGCCCCCTCGGAAAGTGGTTATCGCTCGGTCGAGGTCCCCTGGCCGGTGATGTTCTGGGCGTGTGCCGCCAGTGAGGAGTCCAAGATGCATTTCAACCCCTTCGACCGTGTGAACCTCGGATGGGAGGGGCTTTTTGCGCCCCAGACCATATTCTACCAGGTGAATCCAGCTGCAGAACAGGGTCGGCTGGTCGAGGAGATCAGCGTGCCCGTGCTGAAGGAGAACGGCCTCTTCAACAGCAGGACCATCGAATTCGGCACAGTACTTGCCATTGTCCTGGGTTCGCTTTGGGTGCTGTGGAAACTCGGCGCCGTGATGCGGAGCTCTGGCGCCCGCACAAGGGTAGAGAGCCAGAAGAAGTCCCAGTGATTCGTTTGCCTTGCAGGAAACCCTAGCGCTCTTTCGAGAGATTATAACCGGTTGTATATCCATCATCGTTCTCAATTTGATCGCTTTATTTCTCCGTCCGGAATTCAGCTGGTAGAAACCGACCCGGCCCCGGGAGTCTCCGCCAAGGGCCCCGGCATATCGGTGTACATGAACCGTTCCATGTCGAAGTGCTGGAGACTCGGCATGTCAACTAGTAGATCACTCAGCCAGGAGAACCCTGGATAGTCGGCCAGCGAGTGGTGCGGCTCCGTAGTCGACGCAGTCTGTCCCGCCTCGATCTGCGATGTCGAGGCTGCCGAGTGCACGTGCAACACATCCTTGAGCACTTTGGTGTCCTCCTCCTTCTGCCGCTGGTGCAGGAGCATGAGCAGGTACGCCGTGCTGTAGGCCTCCCGCATGACCTCGGTATCGTACGCCGCCACGACCTCGCGGAGGGTGGACATGGCGTCGCCCAGCATCATCAGCGCCGCCCGGTTGTCGATGGCCAGCAGCGTACACACGACCTGGAACGGCACGTTGGCGGCCTGATGCCAGGGACAATTCGATGCCACCATCTCGCGCGCCGCGCGAAGGCCCTTCTCCGCGAGGGCCAGGACCCGATCGAGCAGTGCCCCGGAGATGATGCAGTTCAGGGCCCGGAGGCGACGGTAGATGCAGAGCATCAGATTACATTGAACCAGAGTCAGCGGGGGTTGGGTGAGCACCAGGTTGAGGACGTCCGTCAGCGCGGATTCCAGGGCGGGCGCGTCCTGCGTCTTGTTGGGGTCGAGGCTCTCGGACATTGGGAGCAGGCCGAAGATCTCCGTCGGATGGCTCGGCGAGCGGGGCGTCGGCGGCAGCGAGGTAGCGCCGTGCAGGACCACGCGCGAGCGCGCGAGCTCGAACGATATCCACACATTCAGATGACGGGCCATGCCGAAGAGCCGGCGGCGCAGTTCCGGGTCGCACGGTTCCACGGGTTGGCTGAGGGCGGTGGTGGTCGTGTCGCCGCCGCCGCCGCCGCCGCCGGGGAGTTCGAGGTGCAAGCCCGTCGCTTCGATGAGGTGCATCAGCGAGCAACTGGCCATCCAGGCTGCGTTCGGCGTGGCGGTCATGCGGAGGTAGGCTACACGTAGCACCCAGGCGGTAACCAGGTCCACGGACGGCGGCGCATCGGACACCATATGCTGCTCCAGCATCACCCGGGCGCTCTCCGCCAGTTGCAGCTCCGCCGGAGTGGCCGTCCGCTGTGAGAACAGGCAGCCGAACGCCCCGACGCCGCACAGGACCGCGTCGAACGCGCCGTAGGCGAGGGCGGACTCGGCCGTCGCCGGGAGCCACCGTCGGCTCAGGTTGCGCAGCAGGTCGTCGCGCTCGATGAAGCTGTAGCACGGGTCGACCTTCTCGAAGAACACGGCCACCAGCGTACGCAACTCATCTTGCGAGATCTGATCCACAATGGGCAGGGGTTTGACGGCGGAGAATGATGCAGCAGCCGCAGGCATGGTCGCGGCCGGGGATGGGGAAGGGTGCCGGGCGCCCATGTTCCAGGCGAAGAGATGCAGTTTGGGCGCGTTGGTCGGGTCGATCTTGAGGCCGAGGCGTCTGGCGAACGCAGCGCCGGAGTTGGCGTCCAGCGAGTTGAGCCGCGCTGCGGTCTCATCGGGCGATGGTTTTGAGGACGATTCCACTGACCGGCTGCTGGCGGCGAGGCTACCACCTAACCCATCCGGCGTGAGGCTGGGAAGTCCCCCCAGGAACGGGGTGGACTGCAACTGGAACAGGCGCACGTCTCGCTTCTTGCGCGACTCCAGGTCATAGTGGCAATCTACCCCGAATTGGACGCAGGTTGAACAGGGCTGGTCCCCGGTGCATTTGCGCTTGCGCGATTGGCACGAGGTGCAGGCCACTCGCGAGCGCTTTCTCGGGGGTTCGGTCATGACGGGTGTCTGGATGGTGCATATTTCAGCAGGCTTGATGTGGTTACCGGATCATTCGGAGATGTTGTGCTTGTACAGTCAGGAATGGATGGCTGGCGTTATTTGGGAAATGAAGTGGAGGGGTCCAAGCGAATCGTCGAACTACACGAGGAGAAGAACATGTGATGTTGTTGTGGTGGTGGTGGTGGTGGTCTTGCATAGCTGAGTCAGCGGTGTGTGCTGCTGCATAAACTATCTCTATCTCTCTCTACCTTAGCAGTCTAGCTTCTTGGCTACAGTGGGCAAGATAACGCTCGAGGATTATGGTGAAGGAAGTTCATTCCCTCATAAACATGCTGGGCCTGTCGTCCACAGTATTATTGTCTACATTTCCGACAAGTTGACAACTGACAGAATTGTGTGACTTCTATCATCGGTGAGAAAAGCATCCTCTCCTGGCCAATTGAACCAACGGACCCTGGCATTGATTCAGGTCGAAGTTTCGCATGGGAAAAAGTTTGCCAACTTGCATTGCAGTTGACTGCAGTTGACAACTGCGGTGAAGAAGTCGAGTTGATATCAAGGATGTGATCTATCGAATTGTTGAGGATCCCCTGCATGTGTGGAAAGCAGCGATTCGGGCAAGATCATCGGAGATCCAGCCTGCATCCGGAAGCCTTTGCTCCCAGCCATTCATTCCACCCAACTGGTGGGTCTGGTGCTCCTGGAGGCGATAACTTACTGTCCATCCAGTCGATATTCCGAGGGCTAGGATCCTGTGCTTTTTGCAGCATGAATTATACCAGTACAGGACATATCCATCCTGAAGTCAATCGGGACTTCCCTACCGCTCTACGACGTATACACTCAACGAACACCCGGGGCATTAATCAGTGTGTCATTTGTCTTATCAGGGCCATTGATGGCTTCTGGGGTAACGTAATCGGTAAGCGAGCGGAACGCGCAAGCGAGTGGAACGCCCAACTCGTGACTTCCGCATTCCACCAAAACATGAGGCTTTTGATCAACGAAATCAACCACCAAAATGGCTATATCGTCAAAAGAACGTAAGGAACAAGAAGGCAGGATCCTCTTAGCCATTGAGGCTTTAAAGAATGATCAAATTCCGTCATTGCGAGAAGCAGCGCGCGTTTTCAACGTTCCGCAAACCACCCTCTGGAACCGCGTTAAAGGAGTCAAATCACGAAGCGATATACATGTCGTTTCGTGTAAATTGACTCTTGCAGAGGAGGAGACGTTAGAACAGTGGATTCTCTCCTTGGATAAGCGAGGGCTTCCCCCCAGGCCTTCCCATGTTCGTGAAATGGCGTCTATATTGATCCGGAAACGAGGAGCCTCGCCGGAGGCATCGGATGAGGCTTTAGTAGGGCAAAAATGGGTATACAACTTTATTAAACGCCATGACTCTTTAAAGACATGTT